TGGAAGTGCTGAAGCTGGCCTGTGGTGACACATCAGTCAGCAATGACTTTGTCCTTGTGGGTGCCATCCTTCTGCTACCTCTACTCAAGTACCTCATTTGCCTTTCCAACATGCCATCCTGGTCACCTTCCTAAAGGTGCCCTCAGCCATCAGGCCCTGCAAATGCTTTTCCACCTGCTTGGAGCACCTTGCTGTGGTCCTATTTTTCGATAGCATCATCATGTTCATGTACATGAAACCCATGAACACAAAGGGATATATCTCTAACATGGTATTCACAGTCCTACTTTGGTTCCATAATAAGTTCTTTTTTCCCAGTTTCTTTTTTTTTGAGACAGGGTTTCTCTGTGGTTTTGTAGCCTGTCCTGGAACTAGCTCTTGTAGACCAGGCTGGTCTCGAACTCACAGAGATCCGCCTGCCTCTGCCTCGCAAGTGCTGGGATTAAAGACGTGCACCAACACCGCCCACCCAGCTTTTCCCAGTTCTTGAGTCCCTAGTCTGTAGATGCTACAAATGTACACTCACTATGCTTACCAATTTTTAATATGATATTTTGTTCTTGTTCCGACAAATAAATCTTGCCTGGATGTTAGAGGGCAGAGCTAACAACCACTAGTGGACCATAGGATCCAGCAGGAAGTGGATCATGACTTTAATCCCAGCAATTGGGAGATGAAAAAAGAATCCAATCCCCCGTTTGGTTTGGATTTGGGGAGGTAAGAAGTGAATGTGGCTGCTGTGTTGCTTATCTATTCTGTCATGTTTACCCCAAAATCTGACTCTGGGATTTTATTAATACTACTAATTAGAATCACACCCAAACAATCATCTTTTTTATTTGAATAATGATTTCTTTATTTTTATTTTATTTTTTCAAGAATTTATTTATTCATTTATTATGTATACAGTGTTCTGTCTGCATGTGCACCTGCAAACCAGAAGAGGACACCAGACCTCATTACAGATGGTTGTGAGCCACCATGTCGTTGTTGGGAATTGAACTCAGGACCTCTGGAAGAACAGGCAGAGCTCTTAACCGCTGAGCCATCTCTCCAGCCATATTTTTATTTAAAAAAAACAAAAACAAAACTATCCATTATACATATCAATCCAAGTTTCCACTCCCTCCCCGACTCTCATTTTCTCTAGTTAGCCTCCCACCCAATCCCATATTCATTCCACAGAGAGAGTAGGCACATTGTTTTGTAGAAGGTCCAAGGCCCTCCCTACTATATCAAGGCTGAGCTAGGCATCCATCCAAAGAGAATGGTCATCGGATTTTTGACAAAGTAGCTAAAGTTATACAATTACAACCTCTGTCTTCTTCAAAAAACACCCATTGCTCATAATTGCTAAGCTATCTCAAGCCACATTTTTATTAAAAAATTATTCTTATATATTTTAAGTAAAATATATTCAATTTCTTTACCCCTTCCTTGTCCTATCTACTTGCCTTTTCAAATTCTTCTTTCAATTTCTTCCTTGTTAAGTGTGAGCAAATAGTAGGTTTAAAAAAGTGAGTAAAATGTGCTGGGACCATTTCTGTTGGCTGTGTGTTATAGTTTCAAGACTGAACAGCCTGTTTTGAATACACAAATAGGGAGATCATCCATGCATGTGGCTAAATCATCCACTTGCAGTAGAATTGTTATCTTTATTGAGCAACATGAGTTTGAGCTTCATTTTATCTGGACCGCCTTTGAACAGAAAACATTAGTAAGAATAAGAAACTTGGAAGAGTGATTACCTAAGCCAACACTTCCTGGTGCCATGCCCTTGAAGTTGTGCAGCCTCAGAGACGACTATGGACATTGTCCTCCACCAATTACAGTATCCCCTTGTCCCAATGGGGATTTTATTAGGAAAAGTCCACATAGCCAGGGATTTCAAGAATTCATGATGGGGAACAAGTTGACCTTAAACTTACTGAGGTGGACGCCACGCATACTCATGTGCTATGATATAGCCATGCACCTCAAAGTCCAGCTGATAGGTGTTTTTAAAGGACTTATCATTGAATCAGAGAAAGAAATAAAATAAGATTTAGAGGGAGCACCATTGTGTTCATGAATAGCAATATTTCTTGAAATTCTATAATTCGAATAGCCAAATCATTTCATATGTTCTCAATAATGGGTTATTTTCTTTGCTTTGTTAATTCCATCCATTTAAAAATAAAGTGTGACTGTGTGAATACACCGGTGCCATGTTGTGTATGTAGCACTGACAGGAAAACTAACGGGGGTCTATGATCTACTTCTGCTTTGTGAGTTCTAGTGATGATACCTGGGGAACCATTTGGCTGCAAGTGACCTCAATGGCACTTCTTTGTATTTCAAAATTATTCACCAATGAGCTCATATAGAAGTGTGCACATGGAACCACCCAAGTGAAAATATGAGAAACAACTGTAGAAGTTTTATCGGTAACCCAGAGATAGAACTCAGGTTCTCAGAATTAGCAGCCATGAACCTTACTAAATGAGGCAATTCTCTGAAGAATTCAATTCTCATGGTTTTTTAAAATATTTATTTATTATGAATACAATATGCTGTCTGCAGGCAAGAAGAGGGCACCAGACCTCATTACAGATGGTTGTGAGCCACCAAGTGGTTGCCAGGAATTGAACTCAGGACCTCTGGAAGAGCAGGCTATGCTCTAAACGACGGACCCATCTCTCCAGCCCACAATTCTTATATTTTAAGAAAGTGTTAGAAATAAATATTTAGCCCACAGAATGAACTAATTAGATATGTATGATGGTGTCAATATTTTTCTATGCAAAGAAGATTTATTATTCAAGATGTCCTGGGTCCTTATACTTTGAAAAAATTTAAATTTACAATCTGAAAAAAGACAATAATTTACTGATGTACTATTTCTTCAAATCAAATTTGATCATCACTGATATAGTTCTGTGGTAAGAAACTGTTGTATACCAGGCAAGAAACCTAACCTTAATCCCGGTAGAACATCAAGTTATGACATGAAATACACAACTGATTGCTGATTATCTTACTTTATTATATTAATATCACATAAATGAAAATATTTTTTGAATACACACATGAGGTATTTAATGTTTCTTATAATTACATTTTCAGTCATTTTAACATTAACATTGTTAAATTATGTTGAGAAAACAGAACACATTGGGAGTTCATCATCTACCCTTGAACTTGTGCTCAGGTGGCAGACATATGAGCATCATGAGTTCAAATGTATCTCTGAATCATTACTGACATCCAAGCTAGGATGAATAACAAACAACAACAAGGGATTTTGTGAAAAGATGAAAATCAAAACCACGAACAACCACTGACCACCCTTTCACTGACACCCTTACTTGAAAAGTATGATCAGACATGTTCTAATATTTTAATAACCAATGGGACACTTCAATGATGGGAAGGCCATTCTATATATTACATCATAAAAATACCTATTACTAGGTAAAGGCACAATAGAAGCTGAACAAAAGCCATAGAAGGAACAGTTCAGTTAGCAAATGTAGTATGATTCACAGTATAGGACAGTTTATGAATGTAATAAAGTTGTTCTGAGGTTATCTACTTCTCTTCAAATATGAGAAATATGTCAAATAGAAAAATGTTTCGGGGGGGCTAAAGAGATGGCTCAGTGGTTAAGAGCATCACCAAAAAGGAGGCAGTACACATCCATAAATATTTACACCTGAATTACATATTCCATGCAGTTGAAGAGAAGTATAAAATCTAAGGGTTACATTATTGTTCAAATTCATCCTGCAAGTCTTAAAACTCTGAAAGGATATACTAACTACCAAAAATTAGGCAATACCAACAGCTGTGAAAAGAAGTTTGCCCCACTAGATGTAGCAATTCTGGTCCTCTCTGAGAGACAGTCATTACAGCTGGGCTCTGCTCCATTCTTCTATGAAAGCTTCCCAGCAGAAATGTCTGTTTCTGATCTGCTCCACTCCCCTAAGGGAGTCTCCCATAAGAGGTGCCCATTGCTTCTCTGCTCTTCTGGGCTAAGTGAGTTTCCAAACATTTATGTCAACTATATCTCAGTTCAACCCCACTGGGGATTTCCTGATCCATTCCAGTGAAAGTTGTTAATATACATCTCAGTCAAGAGATTTATTTAGGAGGGAAGAATCCAGAGTGTGACTTCTTCTGCAAGGATGCAATGGGGCAGCTGCCAACTGAAGGAGCATATGACTCATATAGGGCTTCTTGGAGCCAGAGGGCTTCTAAGGAGATTTAGAAGGCACAATTGGTCAGATTTAAATGCCTGGGTTTGAACAAGCTCGGAGATGGGCTGGATTTTGTGCTCTGGGATTGGTTGGTTTTGAGCTCAGAGAGACAAGGGTAGATTGCATTTCTTTAGCTCTGGTTTGAGAGCAAAAGCAGATTTCTTTTGCTGTCTGTTTTGATGTTTGACTGTGTTTTCTCTGTGATGTTGTATAGTTCACTAGTTCTAGATTTAGGGGCAAAGTGTTTTCCTTTGTATCTCATTTGAGGACCAGGTTGCAATTCTTATCTTGGCTTTATCTCCTTCCCATAAGACTTCATAAAACCACAAATTAGGTTTTGTCCATCAGTTTCCTGGTGCAAATATATTAAAAGCTGGTATCCTAATGCTTGAACAGATTGTTTTCACTATCATTTTTTTACAGAATAAATACTGTTGGTTAATAGACTGTAAGTGTGATTGGCTTCAGGTGCCTAAAAACTATCAGATTGATTACCCGCAAAAAGTTTTATTCCTGTGAAAATTGCAAAACATTTACCAAACTAAGTTTATTTTTTCACTAAAGTATGATTATTCTCATGTTTTTGAAGAGTACACACTTTAAGTTTACAGTTTCTCTCCAGGATGGTTTGTTTCACGTATTTGAAGATTATTGTGATAAAGGATTTGCCAAACAAATTCCATTCACAAGTTTCTGCCCAATCTGTGTTCTTTTCTTTATTTGAAGATAAATAAGGCATGAAAAGACTTTTCCAAGCTCATTTCATGCATACTGTTTCGCACCCATGTGTGTTCTTTGATGCCTTTGAAGAGCACTGTGTTGAACAAAGGCCTTACCACACTTATTATATTCATAGGGTTTCTCTCGAGTATGGGACCTTTGATGCATTCGAAGAGCGGTGCAATGAGCAAAGGCCTTACCACACTGATTACATTCATAGGGTTTCTCGCCAGTGTGTGTTCTTTCATGCGATTGAAGATTGCTGCGACCTGCGAAGGCCTTACCACACTGATTACACTCATAGGGTTTCTCTCCAGTATGGGTCCTTTTATGCATTCGAAGAGCACTGCGCTGATTAAAGGCCTTACCACACTGAGTACATTCATAGGGTTTCTCTCCAGTATGTATTCTTTTATGGTTTTGAAGAGTAGCAAGAAGTGCAAAGGCCTTACCACACTGATTACATGCATAGGGTTTCTCTCCAGTATGTGTTCTTTTATGATGTTGAAGACTACTGTGATAAGCAAAGGCCTTACCACACTGATTACATTCATAGGGTTTCTCTCCAGTATGGGTCCTTTTATGATGTTGAAGAGTACTGTGATAAGCAAAGGCCTTACCACACTGATTACATTCATAGGGTTTCTCCCCAGTATGTGTTTTTTTATGAGTTTGAAGACTACTGTGATAAGCAAAGGCCTTACCACACTGATTACATTCATAGGGCTTCTCTTTAGTATGTATTCTTTCATGTATTAGAAGACCACTGTAGTGAGCAAAGACCTTACCACAATGAATACATTGATAGGGTTTCTCTCCAGTGTGTGTTCTTTTATGCGATTGAAGATTGCTCTGATCTGCTAAGGCCTTACCACAATGATTACACTCATAGGGTTTCTCTCCAGTATGTGTTCTTTTATGCCTTTGAAAAGCACTGTGGTGAGATAAGGTCTTACCACACTGATTACATTCATAGCGTTTCTCTCCAGTATGTGTTCTTTTATGGTTTTTAAGAGTAGCAAGATGAGCAAAGGCCTTACCACACCGATTACATTCATGGGGTTTCTCTTCAGTATGTGTCCTTTTGTGCATTTGAAGAAAATTGTGATGAGCAAAGGCTTTATGACACTGATTAGATTCATAGGGTTCCTTACTATCATGTGTTTTTTTATTCCTCTGAAGCTGACTGTCATATACCAAGGCTTTAACACATTGAGGATGCACTGCAAGTTTCTTTCCAGAATTATTTCTTTCAATCCTGCAAGCATAATTGGAACATATAAAAGCCTTACCATGTTTAATACTGAATTTAACCTACATATCTCTATGTATTACTTTTATAATTTAGTCTAATTGTAAATAGAAATCAGATATTAAGGTTTTATAGCTGTGTTTAAACTCATACTTTCTTCTTTAATTAAGGGTTGTTTTGCATTTTTGAAGACACCTGTCATGGTAAATTCCTTTATTACATGGTTTACCTTTTCATCTTTACAAAAACATTTTTCTATTTGACATATTTCTTTTTTTTTTGTTTGTTTGTCTGTTTTGGTTTTTATGAGACAGGGTTTCTCTGTGTANCAACATTCTGTCTGTGTGTATGTCTGCAGGCCAGAAGAGGGCACCAGACTTCATTACAGATGGTTGTGAGCTCCATGTGGTTGCCGGGAATTGAACTCAGGACCTTTGGAAGAGCAGGCAATGCTCTTAACCACTGAGCCATCTCTCTAGCCCCTTGACATATTTCTCATATTTGAGGAGAACTGGATAATCTCAGAACAACTTTATTACAATCATAAACTGTCCTATACTATGAATCACACTACATTTGCTAACTGAACTAGGACAATCAGAAGTATTTGCACAATTCTAGAACTCATGTGGTTTCTCTGCACTCTGAGTTTGTTAATGTATTAACACTGATATGTGAAAACCAATTATTTATATAGTTGAATCAATTTCAGCCAGCATACTCAACATGGGGACTAATCCTTTCTTCTAATTGTTCTTAGAGAGAGAGATGCTGCGTTTTCCCTTATTCCTAAGCACATAGGCTTGTATCGAGAGTAACATGTTGTATAAACAGTAAAGGAAGAATCACAAACAAAAATTTTCCACAGTGAATGATCACTGTGTGACTTTCTATACCTCGTAAATGTATGGTAGAGGTATTAAAGTTTCTTCACAACAACTGCCACTGAACTCTACCTGCTTCTCTCACCAATCCGAATATAGTAATAAGAAGTATATGAGTAATACAAGATTTACTGTATGCTCTTGGCTTAGTAGAAAGTCTTGCGGATATACTTATCATCACTGCAATGTGTACACATTTTGTATTATGAGTAGCAAGAAATCACTGCATTGGCAGATCTACAGCACAGCTCTCAGGGTGCTATGATTCCAATGGTGATTTCTGTTTAGCCATTTCTCACTGGTCTTTTTAAAATTAAAAGAATGCCTTGAAAATGCAATTCATCTACATGGAATTTTATAAGGATTTTTCAGAAGTTAATAATCATAAATGCACTTAAATCTGTGCTTATTCACACTGTTGTCTTTATTTAAATCTTGTAGGATGCATTATCATTTCATCCGAGGCTCATTGTTTTCAGCATGCACAAGAAAATTACCTTTCATGTCTTCTAGAACGTTGACAATGTTCTTTACTATTATGTTCTTCCCAAATGTATCCTAAAATGCAGTACCAGAAAATGTACGTTATAATATTGAATATTGTGCAACATTTAAGTAGCTATTTTAACTAAACCTTAGAACCATGCCTGCTTTATTCACCTCATTCTTCTTCTCCCTTCTAAATCAAATCACTGAAGAACATCATTAACCAAGGAAAAGTTGTCCCTTTACTTTGAAACATGAAGAAAATTAATTTTTACCTATAGTAGTGAGGTTCCTGTAGGTCTCCAGCATCACATCTTTGTAGAGATTCTTCTGGGAAGGATCCAGCAAATTCCACTCTTCCTCAGTGAAATTGATATGCACATCATCATAGGTCACTGCCTTCTAAAATATGCCATATATGATAGTGACATGATAGTGAAAACTTTGTAAATGTATACTTCCTTGATAGTATAGTCATACAATTCTGGTGTTCCCTTACTTCTTTGATAGTATAGTCATATAATTCTAGTGTTCCCTAATCATAGTCCAAGACATAGACAGTCATTTTAGAAGGAAATTGAAAAGGAGAGTTTTCTCTGTCATTTCTGTTCTCTTTGAATGAGATATCACCTTACGAGAGAAATATCTATTAGCAGAGAGAGACAGAAAACAGATCATCGGTTCATAGTACAAATGTGAAATTTTTATGAAGATTAACTAAATACAAATAGAAAATAAGTTGGACACACTAGGTGTATTGACTCATGCCTTTAAGCTCAGACCTTCAAAAGCAGAGGCAGGTATATTTTTCTCTGAGTTAAATACCAGACATGTCTATGCAATGAGGTTCAGGACAGGTGGAAGTACATAGTAAGACCCTATCATCCAGGAAGTGGTGATGCACGCCTTTAATCCCAGCAATCAGGAGGCAGAGGCAGGTGGGTCTCTGTGAGTTTGAGGCCAGCCTGTTCTATGAGAGCTAGTCCAGCACAGGCTGCAAAGCTACAGAGAAACCCTGTCTCAAAAATCAAATAAACAACAAACCAACAAAAAGGCACTGTCTCCATTGCAAAGATCAGTGAATCAAGCAAGAAGAATAGATTAACTCAGAGGTTTTTACTGAAGTTCCTATAAAGAAGCATGCATTCACTCCACTTCTCTCTTATCTTCCAAACATCTGAAGCGCCCTATTTAAACTGTAATACCAATAACATTTTACAAACAGAGCTTTATGTTTAAAAGTTACAAATGGACAGATGAAAACATTAGAAAAATATATCTTGGGCATAAATAATAAACCCAGGCTGGGAGAGAGATGACTGAGTAATACCTAGCTTTTGATGGTCTTGAATAGATGTGGCAGAATTGCCAGTACTTATCTGGGAATTATAACTATCCATTCTTCCAAGTTCACAAATTCCGAGATCCTTTGATCATGTTGAGGACCAGGTACCCATGTGGTCCATAGTCATGCCGATACATAGGTATATTAATTTTAAAAATGTAAAGTCAGCATAACAATCAGGAAGAAGTTCATGCACCTACAATTCAATGACTCCGAATGATTAGCAGTACTGAACTAATGTCATGCCTACTGAAAGACTTCCAGACCCCAAAATGGGGAAAAAAATTTACTTCTATCATAAGCAACACAGACCAGAATTCCAAAGAGCAAATAGAAACCAAGGAACCAAACGTGCATCCAACAAAGACAAACAGCGATACTGGCACCTAGACCTGCAGTCACCTCAAACCCAGATGTCTGACAAGAGCACAATAACATGATCAACAGCAGACAGAACAATGTGTCACTACCATAGTCACACTCTCCTACTCCAGCACACCTTGAATATACAAACACAGTCACAGTACAAGTAAGTTAGAACAACTGTGAAGATGTTTTATGTCCTTAAGAAGGAAGTGAATGAATTCTTTAAAATAAGCAAGGGAAAGATAAATGAAATCTTGGAGAATAATAATAAATCCCTTAAAGAACGTCAAACAAGCAAACAGTTGACAGAAATGAATATATCAGTTCAAGAAGAGAAAATTGAAATAGAAGCATGTAAAAAATGCAAGCTGAAGGTTTCTGGAGATAAAAAACTAGATGAATGAAAAGGAAAAACAGGCAAATTAAGGTGAAGTCTATCCTATCTTTGTGAGTCTAAACTTTTATATATAATTTACACACACCATAACTAAGGAAAACGTTAACGATATAATCGTTTACAACGCAATCAGAAAACCCAAGGCATAACATTAGCCTGGAAGGTCTGTGGCAGCAAAAGCAGAGCCTCTTTTCCAAAGTAACAAATTTTGATGTCAAAATACCTTTAAAGTATGTGTGGGGTTACCATAGCAGCTCCCAAATCAATGTCTCTCTCTGCAGTCCAAAAATTCAAAAAAAGCACAATGTGTAACCCAGACTTTGTGTGTATTTTCTATCTTTTCAAGGTCCATTAATTATTTTACTTATTTTTTTCTTTAAGAACCATGGTGTAAATTCCTTAAAAAACCATTTTTAATCCATGATTCTGTCTATATTTATTCTCTCTGTCTTAAGCCCATGGACATTTATCAAATAAACCATCACCCACTCAAAGGCCTTTTTATCTGAATGTTTTTACTGTGTATCTTTAATCCTTTTCTGATGAGGAGGGTTTTTGTAATTAAAAGCTGCAATTGACTTTCATTTTTGTGCTTTTACAACCCCTCATTTTTAACTTTCTTAGGGTTTATGTGGCCTTAGTTGCCAAACATTTGGTGTCCTAATGTAAATGGGGACTACACTTTCATCTTCTGGCTGCCTAGACCCAAATAATCACACAAAAACTATATAATTACATCAGCATTTTAAAAATGCTTGAGGCATATTCCTAGTTAGATTTTACATAAATTAAGGGCTTAGCTGAACAGAGCCTTACACTTTAGGGCACCTTGTTAAGATTTAAATGTAAAGCAAGGGCCTTCTCTTTAGCTGTGTAAAATCCTTGAAAATCCCTCTTGCTTTCACTGCTGGACACCCATCAGAAACAACCTAGTGCATTTTTCCTCAACAAAACATACATTTTTTTTTCATTCTTTGTATGTGTTTCTTTTGCACTGTGGATTTGAAGGACTTCGCAGTAATAACCATCTAGCAGAAATAATATTTTGTCTAAGATATCAGTCCATTAATTTTTAATTCTGCCTTAGTCACTTTCTTGGGACATGGAAACATTAAGAAAGATTGGGGGCCAAAGTGTCACACAACTGATCTCCAGCAAACATTTTATGAAGTTTTCTAAGCTCCTGTCCTTACTTACCAGGCCAAAATAAATCAATAGGGCCACAAGGAATAAAGCCAGGCTTGGGCTGGAGGGACCAGAACAAGATGAGGTTATGAGAACAATCAGAATCATTATATCTTTATCAGAAACAGAAAATAATGGCAATTTCCAGGATCAATACAGTGTAGTTGCCAGGATATCATGACGACTGCAAGCCGTACGGGGAATACAGGATTGTGGTCTCAGACCAAGTGTCCTGTTGAACTTCCATACTTCCTGGACCACTAAGGGATTACTCAGAGAAACAGATTAGCCTGAATGACTCATTGCCTAAGGGAGTGCCGCACCATGTCAGCAACTTAAAAAAGCACACTGTGCCCCAGGAGCCATGGATTTTAATGTGAAATAACTAAGACACACGTCTCTCAGGGTGGATGGGCCAATCCAACTCCTTTGTTCCCGGCAGAGCCTTCTGTCCACTAAAATCCTATGAACAAAAGCAGGAAAAAGTAGTCAATTTTTAATCCAAAGACCAAAGTAAACTTTGGCAAGGAAAAGTGTGATCTTGGTCAATGCTACCCAGCTATCTTTGATTATATGTGTACAGAAATTAAATAAACATAAACTGTATAACTTTCACAAAGATACCTCAAAGTGTTGTTTCTGACCCCCAGTTACTGATCTGTCTTTTGAGATGCAGCCACATGATACAGATGTTCTCTTTAAAAATAGAGAAGATCTCTTGTTACAGCTCTCAGATCCTTGTGCTATCTTTTGGTTGAAGGTAAACACTGTCCCACTGATATCCAATCCCAAAACAACCTAAAAACTGATTTAAAATCTGCTTCCGCTACATGCATTTTGGCAGAATTGGTGGATTGTGCCCTATCTACATGGCTAACACAATGCACACCTGGGAAATCTCTGCACATCAGAAACTCCTTTTTGTCCCCCTGGTAAGCTTCACTGGATCACACCATTGTGGCAAGTGGCAGAATCACATTAACAGAATTCTACTCAAGTATTGCTCTCCCAGTTCCTCTGCCTTCTCTCAAGGTCTGTGTTGATTATTTATGACCAACATTTCTGTTTCTACTGTTTTCATCTGTCCACTTGTAACTCTTTTATACAGGAAGTTCTTTTTCTTCAAAATGTTATTGGTATTACAATTTATATTAGGGTACTTCCGGGTCTGGAAGAAGACTACAGAACTAGAGTGAAAACAACGCTTTGTAGAAACTTCAATAAAAGCCTGTTAGTTTTTCTATCCCATTGTTTGTTTTATTGAGGTTTGCAATGGAGACAGAGTCTTAATGTGTACTGCCACCTCTCCTGGACCTGATTGCATTGACTTGACTGGCATTCAACTCAGAGACAAATATACCCACCTCTGATTTCTGAGTGTTGTGGTTAAAGGAACAATACACTAATACACCCATTTGTGTATCTTTTTTCTTTCTATAATGACTAATTTTTCATTCAGATTTCTCATGCATACAATTTACTATAGATCTTTTTTCTTGTCTCACCTTGTTAATAGATATTGTTCTTATAAGGTTAAATCCCATTCAAAGTGTATAGAAATGACAGAATTGACTCCTTCTCAATTTATTTCTAAAGTAACTGACTATATCACAGAATAAGAATGGGGAACACCAGAATCATACAACTGTACGTTCAAAGAAGTATGCATTTTCAATGATGTCACTGTCGTGCTTACATTGTACATATGTGTGGTATACTTTTGAAGGCAGTGACCTATGATGATGTGCATATCAACTTCACTCAGGAAGAGTGGGATTTGCTGGATCCTTCCCAGAAAAATCTCTACAAAGATGTGATGCTGGAGACCTACAGGAACCTCACTACTATAGGTAAAATGAATTTCCTCCATGTTTCAAAATATGGAGACAACTTTTCCTTGGCTTATAATGTTGTTCTGTAATTTGATTTAGAAAGAAGAAAATGAGATGGATAACACAATCAAGTTCTTAGGTGCACTTAAGATAATGAGCTAATTGTTGTACAATATTAAATAATATAACATACAGATTCTGGTACTGTATTTCAGGGTACATTTTGGAGGACTGTAACACTGAAGAACATAGTCAATGTTCTAGAAGACATGCAAGGTAATTTTCTTGTGCAAGTTTATAACAATGTGCCTCTGACGAGTTTGTAATATGTCCTGGAACAATGAATCAAAAGCAGCAGTGTAAATAAGCACAGCTTTAAATGCATTGATGGTTATTAAATTCTCACAAATCCATATTCCTCAATTTCTCATATGTGAATTGCATTTGCAAGGCATTCATTTAAGAAAAAGTCAAGGAAGCAATGACTAAACAGATATCACCATTTGAGTCATAGCAACATGAGAGCTATGTAGTAGATCTGCCAGTCCATTTCTTTCTGCTACTCATGACAAAAACTGTATACACATTTCAGTGATGGGTATAGCTGCAAACTTCCTACTAAATCAATAGCCTGTGGTAAGACTTGGATTTCTCATAGACTTTTTGTGACTTGCTAAGTTTAGTGAAAGTGGCAGTTAGAGTCAAGGGTCAAGGGGCAGTTGTTGTGGAGAAACCTTAATATCTATACCACAAGTCTATGAGAAACAGCAAGTCAAACCATGCAGATACAATGTGGAAATCTTTTATTCACTATTCTTCCTTTACTATGTATATCATATGTTACTCTTGATACAAGCATATGAGAATATGGATATGGAAAGATGTAGCATACGTCTCATTAAGAACAATTAGAAGATAAACTAGTTCCCATGGAGAGTATACTTGTTCAATTAAGTCCAAGTATACAAGGAATTGGTTTTCTACCATCATTGTTAATACATAAACAACTTCACGTTACAATGTATAATGATTCATAGTATAGTAAAATTTATGAATGCAGTAAAGTTTGTAAGGCACTCAGTGTATGCAGTTCTTTTCAAAAATGTGAAAAATATCATAGAAAAAATATAGGGATAGGTTTAGATGAAATGGTAAACCATGACACAAAGGAATTTATCATCACAAATATTTTTCCAGATGCAAAATGACCCCTATTGAAAGAAGAAAACATGATTTTAAATGAAGTTACGACATTAATATTTGATTCATTTTTACAATTGGAACAAATTATGAAATTAATTCATACAGATCTGAGGTTCAACAGTGCATTGAATGTGGTAAAGCTTTTATATGTGTCAATTATCCTTGCAGGATTGAAAGAAATCAAATTGGAGAGAAATTTTCAGTATGTTCCTACTGTGCTAAAGCCTTGTCTTATGACACTCACTTTCTAAGAAATGAAAAAACACATACCGGAGAAAAATGCTGTGAAATTAAGCAATGTGGTAAAGCCTTTGCTTATCACGGTCATCTTCAAATGCATAAAAGAACACACACTGGAGAGAAACCCTATGAATATAGTCTAGATGATAAAGACTTTGTTCTTTATGAAACCCATCAAAGTCATAAAAGAACACATAATGAAGAAAAATCATATGAATTTAATCTGCTTGGTAAGGCCTTTGCTGATCACAGTCATCTTCAAAAGAATAAAAGAACACATACTAGAGAGAAACCCTATGAATGTCATCAATGTGGTAAATACTTTGCACGTCGGGATAATCTTCAAACGCATAAAAGAACACATACTGGAGAGAAACCCTATAAATGTATTCAGTGTGGTAAGTCCTTTGCTCAGCACAGTAATCTTCAAATGCCTAAAAGAATACATAATGGAGAGAAGCCCTATGAATGTAATCAGTGTGGTAAGGCCTTTGCAGCTCATTGTAATCTTCAAAACCATAAAAGAACACATACTGGAGAGAAACCCTATGAATGTAATCAGTGTGGTAAGGCCTTTGCAGCTAAGAGTAATCTTCAAAAGCATAATAGAACACATACTGGAGAGAAACCCTATGAATGTAATCAGTGTGGTAAGTCCTTTGCTCAACCCAGTCATCTTCAAACGCATAAAAGAACGCATTCTGGAGAGAAACCCTATGAATGTAATTAGTGTGGTAAGAACTTTGTTCAACACAGTCATCTTCAAACACATAAAAGATGACATACTGTAGAGAAACCCATTGAATGTAATCAATGAGGTAAGGTCTTTGCTCACAACTGTGCTCTTCAAAATCATAAAAGAACACATACTGGAAAGAAACCCTATAAATGTCATCAATGTGGTAAGGACTTTGCATGTCACAATCATCTTCAATTGCATAAAAGAACATACTGGAGAGATACATGTGAATGAAATCTGTCGTGAATCCTTTTTCACAATCATCTCCAAATATGTAAAATAAGACATCCTATAGAGAAACTCTGAGTTTAATGTGTGTTCTTTAAAAACGTGAGAAAACTCACACTGTAGTGATACTCTATGAAAATCAGTGTCAGAATGTTTTGTGCTTCATATAGGAGTAAGACTTTTTGTGTGTAATCAATCTGATTAAGTTTGTGGTGCATATTACCATAAATTTTGTACTGGAGGAAAAAACTGAGGGCTTATTGTAAAATATTCTTTAACCAACAGCAGTTATTGTATAGAAAAGAATTTTATAGTGTCAACAGTTTGTTCAAGCATCATGATACTTCTTCTTATTTTAGTTTGAAGTAGCAAACTAATGGACAGACATTTTATGAAGCATTTTTGTTTGGAGAAAGGGTATTCAAAGAAACATACATTGGTCCCGAAACTAGAGCCAAAAGAAAGCACCTTGTCTCTGAATCTAGAAGTAGTTAAAGAAACAACATCTCTCTGAAAACAGCTAACATTAAAAGGGGCCAGTAAAGAAACACAATTTGGCTCTCAAATCAGATCCATAAAAACAAACTCTATCCTTGTCCAACTGAGCACAAAAGCAACGAATCCCTCAGCATAAAATCAAGGCCATCTCTGAGCTTTTTCAGGATCAGGGATTGAAATACAGCAAATTCCCACCATCAAAATGTCCTTTGCTCTCTGTTATTAAGAAGTCCTATTTGAGCCATATGCTCATTCAGTATACAGCTGCCCCTTTCCACACTTTGCAGAGGTGTTCATACTCATGTTTTCTTCCTTCTCCAATAACTCTAATTCAAGATTTATGTGAATACCTCTTTTACTGGAATGTT